GTGGGCCACATAACAACCCTAGCAGTTAGGACTGAAGGTCTGGTTACCCACATTTTGCAGATGAGGAAACAGCAGCAGAGAGATACTGCCTCTGTCTGGGTCCCACAACTGATAAGGAAGCAGTTGAAATTTCAACTGGAGTCTTCCTGGCTCCAAGCCCAGCAGGCTCTACACCAAGCTATTTAAATGCCTAGATCTATAACTGAAAAAGACCTCAGAGGATATCCAGTCCAGCCTTCTCAATGTATAGATCTATGAATTAAGTCCCATGGAGGGTAAAGGGATTTCTGAAGGTCTCACAGGCAGTAAACCTCAGAGGCAAGATTTGAACACAGGTCCTCTGATTCCAAAGCCAGTTTATTTCTACTAGAACAAATTGCCTCATAGTATTATTACCTTCATTTTACAGGGGAGAACATCAAGATTCAGACAGGAAAGGTTCTCATCCAAGGTCACACAGGTCTAGGCAGTTCTAGACCTCAAACTTAGGACTCCAAGTGTGGTATTCATTCCATTATGCCAACCTTGTGACAGTCATGGGCTCAGCAGTGGGAGGGATCTCAGAGGGCGTTTGGTCCAGTCCAGCCCTCAACAGAAATCCCCTTTCCAACAGCCCCAACAAGTCATCCCCTAGCCTCCACTGAGAGACTCCAACCCAGTTCTCCTAAGACTTCTCTTCTAGCCATACCGTGCTGCTACTCAAGATGAATCCAAGAAATAGGAAAGGAGTGGGGGAAAGCATGCCTGGTTTGTAAACAAGCTGGCAGAGATGCCACTTCTGAAGATCTTTGTATAACACAGCAGCTCAGATGCAGGAGCTGATTTCAAATGACAAAGATGACAATTCAAAGGTTTAGTTTTGGCAAATCAAGCCATGTGTTAGAGACTTGAGTAAATAAGGAGAGGACAGAAGAACACGTCTAGTGGACTTGAAGGAAAGAGAGGCTTTTAGCCTGGGCCTAAATGAGAGCCATTTGGCAGGATCACCAAGAAACCACTCCCATAAGGAATAATATGCTAAAGGCTTTTTCCAGCTTCCTACAGTGAAAGCAAGATGAATAGTATCAAGGAGTTTAGAATGTAGTGGAGACCTGATCAGTCTCTAACCTGGAAAGGGCCTGAGCTGAACAGAGCAGACTAGATGCAGGTGTCAGGACATAAAGTAGTGGTATAATTTATTTCAGAGTGAGGAAAGTGACTTGCACTAAAGGAAGCCTCTCCACCCTGAGAAGGAGGGCTTAACATATTGGGATACAGGCAATGCTAATGTATACAAGTGGGCTGGACTATGTCATTTTTAGGTCCAGAGTTACTGTGCCCACGGCTCCTGTGGGAAGAGTATTGTCCCAAGTCTTGGGAGATGTTACTACTCTGTGCAGTTCAGAATCAGAGTTCTGTTATCGGAACAGGAGTGCAGTACAAGGAACAGGGATTATGAGCATGTCAGAGATATGATGGATATTGGCTCTCAGATTCCTGGGAAATAGAGGGAGTGAACATGTGGTGCAATACACTTTGCCAGAGGGTGAGATCATCCAGAGAGCAAAGGATTGTTGTTATGCCAAGCTCAAGGCACAGTCTGCTTGCTAAGCCTAAACTCTGGGAAATAGGATATCCCCAAAATATTTTGACAATAGCTAGAAAGAGAACAGAGCTTTCTCTTCCTGATGAGATGAATTCTCTCCTCCTTTCTTGCTGAGAATGTATCCAGATGATTGTTATTTAGTAGAAAGCAAGGTGAATCACAGAGCCCTCAGAAGGAGGTCCCTGTTTAACATCTGGGTAGGCTGGGGTAATTCTTTTGTTGGGAGGGCCTTTGTTCCAAAGGGCTTGTAGTCATTTTCATGGTGGTCACTCTTCTCTGGGTTGTAGCACAATCTCAGAAACTTGGAAAATGCAGGTAGGTTACCTTTAAAATTTTTTTATTCATTTAATTTCATAATTTATGGAATAAAACAAGCTTTCCCATAAATTAGTATAATAAAAAAGATGATTGCACATGAAATTGCAAATCTATTGTGTACCACTTGCTGTTCTTTTTAAATATATAAGAAAGCTATCACATAAATTGCTTTTTTTCCTTTTTTTCTTCCTTCTCCTGCCCCACCCAGGAGATAGACACCATTAGACACAAATATGTGTGTATATTTACATATATATGTAAAATCTTTCTATAAATACTTCTAGTTGTCAGTTCTTTCTCTGGATATACATCTGTCATATATTCTCTAGAGTTAATTTGGGTATTTATAATAGTTGAAATGACTTATTAACTCAAAGTTCTTCTTAAAACAATATTGCTGTTATGTCTACAACATTCTCTTGGTTCTGCTTGTTCGGTTCCTCGTTATTTCATGTTAAGTCTTTCCATGTTTTTCTAAGATGATTGAGCTCATCATTTCTTATAGCATAGTAGTATTCCATCACAATCATATACCCCAACTTGTTCAGCCATTCCTTGATTAATGGGCATCCCTATAATTTCCACTTCTTTGCCACCACAAAGAGAACTACCATAAACATTTTAGAACATTTAGCTTCTTTTCCTTTTTCCCTAATCATCTTGGGAAACTAACCTAATAGTGATATTTCTGGGTTAAAGGGTATGTGCAGTTTGATAACTCTTTGGGCATACTTCCAGATTGCTCTCCAAAACGGTTAGATCAGTTCACAATTCTATCAACAATGAATTATTGCCTCATTTTTTCACATCCCCTCCAACATTTGTCACTTTCCCAATCGTTTTAGTAAATTTGGTAGGTGTAAAATTATATCTCAAGCTTGTTTTAATTTGCATTTCTCTAATCAATAATGATTTAGAGCAGGTTTTCATATGACTATAAATTCTTTTGATTTCTTTATCTAAAAAAACTGCCTGTTCATTTCCTTCGACTATTTATCAGTAGGGAGGTCAGTTGTTAATCAGCCCCTTCTGACCACCACATCTAAGAGGCAGGCTGAATTGTAAGAGGAAGCTTGGGAGACAGCCTGGCACACTGAGCAGAGGACTAGTCTTAAATCCAGGAGTCTGGGGTCAATTGATTCTTCAAAGGTCTCATTAATTGTCATTTTTATTCCATTGTGATCAGTAAAGTATATACTTAAAATTTTTATTTTTCTATATTCCAGTACAGAATCTTATGCCATAGCACATGATTAATTTATGTAAAGATGCCATAAATAGCTGTGATACATAGAACTTCCATTATATTCCCACTCAAGTAATCACAAAAGATGTAATATATCTTACTTTCTGCAGATGTATTTAGGCTATTAACTCCCATCCTTTGGTTAATTAATATTTTTCAATGATTGAATAAAATGAAATCTTTAAACCTTTAGCACCCCAACTGACAAGGAACCAGTTGGAGACCTAGAGAAGAGCATTTCTAGAAAAGCCTCTAGCCAACTGTGTTGCCCATAGAAAAGGAAACTGTATTCCACATTCATCTGTCATCTGCATGCTGGGCCTGTAAGGTTGCAGATCTGTGCCCAGTTACTCAGTACAGAGGAACAGAAGGAAAGACACGGTCCATACCCCCAAAGCCCATATATTTTGCTTAGTGATACTGATAACAAGGGTAGAGGTCAAACCAAGTCAAGAAGCATTTATTAAGTGTCTACTATGTGCCAGGCACTGTGCTATTAGACACAGAGGTTACCATGAAAAGCAAAATTCATTCCTTGCTCTCAAGGAGCTGACAGTCGAATTAGAGAGACCACGCAAGCCTTTACACAAAACAAGATACATGAAGGATAAATTGGAGATATTAGGAGAGAAGACACTAGCATTATGCGGAATGAGGAAAGGCTTCTAGCAGAAGCTGAGATTTGAGCTAGATCTGAAGGATGCCAGAGGAGTCAGGATATAGAGAGGAAGAGGGAGAATTCCAGGTAAGGGAGACAGCCAGTGAAAATGCCTCAAGTAGGAAGGTGGAAGGTATTATTTGAGGAACAATCAAAAAGCCAGTGTCACTGGTTGGCAGAAGACACGGGCGGGGGGGGAGGTGTAAGAAGACAAAAGAGGTAAGAAAGGGCCAGGTTGTGAAGGGCTTTCAACACTACAGGGCTTTTATTTATCTTAAATATGAAAGACACTGAATGTTATTGAATTGGGGGTTGGCATGGTCACACCTGAACTTTAGGGAGATCTTTTTGACAACTGAATGTCAAATGCTGGAGAACAGAAAAGCTGGAGGCTGGGAAGCCAACCAGGTGATAAAGTTTTGCATGAAGACAGCAAAAGTAACAGAGGAGAGAAGGAAATGGATATGAGAGATGTTGGAAAGGCAGACTGGACAGGACTTGGCTATGGAGACTAGATATGGGGAGGCAGGGAAAGAGAGAATAAGGAGTTGAGAATGACACCTAGGTTGGAGCCTGGTGCTGTCCTTGACAGCAATAGAGAAGGTAGGAAATTGGGAATGTTTAGGGGAAAGAGAGTGAGTTCAGTTCTGCACAACTTGTGTTTAATGTCTATGGGGCATCCAGTTCAGAGTGTCCAATAGACATTAGAGGTCAGGAAAGAGGTTAGGGCTGGATCAGTGAAGCTGAGAGGCCTCTGCATAGAGGAAATCATTGAATCCATGTGAGCTGCTGAGATCCTGAAGTGAAACACAGAGATATAAGATCGGTGAGCAAGTAGTTAAGTAACAAGTCTTCAGGGAGCAGATGGCCCTTTGAGTTAGATACTGAAATACTTGAATAAGTGGAAAGGAGCAGGGAGGACATTAGAGCCTAGAAAAAATAGTGTGATCTGAGGTATGGAGGTTGAAGTGAATACGGGGTGTGTGCGAACCAGCCTGACCTATGAGATCTGTATGAGGAGGGCAAGATGAGGTGGGATGGATACAAGCTGGACCACAGCTCTGTGCCCTTTAACGTGTGGTTGCCCAGATTTGAGACGACACTCCTGGTTCCTAGGGCTAAGGGATCAGTGGGAACAATTTTCAGGTTCTGTTATCCTGTTCTTCACTGCCAACATCCTTTCTTGTTCTTAGTATCTCCCTGGTTGGGATTCTGTCAGCCATGATCTGGACCATAAGGTGGCATCACCAGCCAGCTTCCTACAACAGCCCTACTCCACGTTTATACCTCATACACCTCAACCTTGTGCTTTCTGATATTACTAGCTCAGGTAAGTTCACTTTGGTCTCTGCCATCCACAGATCAATAACCACTGGTATTTCAATTCAATTAAACCCTCAATTCAAGAAACATTCATTTAGCCCCCATTGCTCACAGGACCTTGTGTTTTAATATTAGCAAAGGTTAAAAGTTTAGATAATGCATGATCTTGGATCTCAGGGTCATTGTCCTCCACCTAGGCATCTTCACCAATACTGGCAATACAGAATCATAGGATTGTAGAGTTGAAGGGGATCTCACCCACTTCAAGTCTATGTTACAGGCCCATGAAGGCTGGAGACACATTTGAATAGAAGGATCTCTCATAATGAGGACCCACAGTTTTCAGTAAAGGGAGAAACTGTCGTTGTTCAGGTCAACTCTTGAATAGAGGGGAAAATGTTAGATAATCTTGTACAATATATAAAGGGTCTATGACAGCAATATGGAAGGGCTTTCGAATATCTGTGAGCATCCATTTAAACTTTGGCAATTTAAATTTCTCTCTGCTCTACTAACAAGTCATCTTAAATATTCATAATATAAGAAAACTAGTGGAGATTCATGGGCACTCCCCAAAATGGGTTTTGAGAATATAAGCTCACAACCCAGGAAATGATGGGAATTCCAAAAACTTTATAACTCCAGGTAACTTTATTGTCTGGGACCAGGGATCCTGGGCCTCCATACTTAGCCAGGCAATCAACAAAAGCCATCAGAATGTTACAAGCTGAGACTGGCTATTTTTTTAATTGTCTTGGTCCAGTGCTTACTGGGGATGTTTGGTTCCAGATAACTATCTGACTAGGGGACAGAAAATCCCTCAAAATTTATATAAAATAGTTGCCCAAGAGTCTATGTCCACAGACCCACTTTGGAGACCCAATTCCTATTCCCCCAAATCCCACTAATTCTACAGGTCTTTTTTGAGGTTAGGACACAAAGACTTAATTTTACTACCAATATCTTCTTTGATTGACCCTGAAATAAATCTAGGGACTAGAAGAAGAATTAATAGAAGCAGAGGGTCCACATTTGTGTCTTTGTAAGGCAAATTTGCCAACAAAAGTATTGATCATTTATGGCTAGAAGATGTCCCTGGTCTCCCAACTGGACAGTGTAAACTAGAGAGTCACAGAGCATTAGAGCTGAGATGGCTAACTTTACACATGATCTGATACAATCACCAACCCCTATTTCTTTTATTTCTTTTTAATTTTTTATTTCTCAAATTTTTAATTTATGGAATATAATATAGTATAATAAAAAGATGATTGCGCATGAAACTACAAATCTGTTCTGTGCAACTTTCTATTCCTTTTAAATATATAATAAAGTTATCACGTGAATTTCTTTTTTTTTCTCCCCCTACTCTGCCCTAGAGATGGCTGCCGTTAGACACAAATATATTTGTGTAAAATCATTCTATACATACTTCTATTTATCAGTACTTTCTCTGGATGCAAATAGTGTCTTCCTTCATATTTCCTTTCTCATATGTCAGATGTTTATTTAGGTATTTGTAATAGTCAAAATTACTTATTAACTCAAAGTTGTTCTTAAAACAATATTCCTATTACTGAATACAATGGGCTCTTGGTTCTACTCACTTTGCTCTTCATTATTTTGTGCAATTCTATCCATGTTTTTTTCTAAGGTCATTGAGCTCATCATTTCTTATATTCAGTAGTATTCCATCATGATCATATACCACAACTTGTTCAGTCATTCCCCAATTCATGGGCATCCCTGTAATTTTCAGGTCCTTCCTATCACAAAAGGAGCTGCCATAAACATTTTAGAACATCTAGGTTAGTTTCCTTTTTCCTTAATCATCTTTGGAAATAGACCTAATAAACCATCCATTTCTGGCAGCCAAGATGGCAGAGTAAGCAGCAAATTGCTCTTCCTCTTCCTTATTGACTTCTGAAAAACCAGAAAATAGCACCCCAGGAAAAATTCTGGAATAGCAAAACCAGTGGTAAGATAGGGTGGATCTGTCTTTCAGCCCAGGAAATTTGGAGGATTGGCAAGAAATGTCCATCTCACTGAAGCAAAAGGTGAGCACAATCCAGGACAGGAGGGGTCCCAGCAAGCCAGCAACAAGCTCCACCTCAGCAAACCAGCAGGAAATCCTGAGCCCCAGGGTGGTGGAGCAAACAAGAGCCAATACTAGGACTCCATGCCCCCACGTGCCTTAGCATAGCCAGGGAAACTGGCAGACTCCAGCTCAGAGAACCACCACATGCATCAGGGTATCCCCTGGCAGGCAGGCATCCTCCAGCAGCCAAGCCTCCCCATACTCTGATGCAGGGGTGGGATGCAGGAGGGGAGAAGGACTGTACTGGGAGAAGAGGAAAGAAGGAAGAAGAAAAAGGTAAATAACATCACATGAAGAGGCACAAAATCCTATTACAATAGAGGGAAAGAAGGGAGGGAGGCGAGCATTGTTTGAACTCTATTTCCATCAGATTACATTCAAAGAGCAAATAACATACATACTCAGTTGGGTATAGAAACCTGTCTTGCCCTATAAAAAGTAGGAGGGGAAAGGGGAAATAAAAGAGGGAAGTGGATAGAAAGGAGGGCAGAAGTAGTAGGGGGTAAAGGAAAGAAAAGGGGGGCAGCTTGGTGGCACAGTGGATAGAGCACTGGCCCTGGATTCAGGAGGACCTGAGTTCAAATTCGGCCTCAGACACATATCGTTTACTAGCTGTGTGATGTTGGGTAAGTCACTTAACCCTATTACTTAGCCAAAAAAAAAAAAAAGGAAAGAAAAGGAAGGGGGGTTGAAAAGGAAGGGTAGATTGAGGGAGGCAGTAGTCAGAAGCAAAACACTAGTGAGGAGACAAAGGGAGAAGGGAGAGAAAAAACATAAATGGGGGAAAATAGTATATAGAGAAAGACACAGTAATCTTAACTGAGAATGTGAATAGGATGAACTCTCCCATAAAATGGAAGCATATAGCAGAGTGGATTAAAAACCATAGTCCTACAATATGTTGTTTACAAGAAACAGATCTGAAGCATAGAGATACAGAGTAAAGGTAAAAGTTTGGAGTAAAATATATTATGCTTCAGCAGAAATAAAAACAAAAAGCAAGGGTAGCAATCCTGATCTCAGACAAAGCAAAAGCAAAAATAGATCTAATTAAAAGAGATAAGGAAGGAAACTACACCCTGCTAAAAGGTACCATAGACAATGAAATAATATCAATACTAAACATATATGCATCAAGTGGTATAGCATCCAAATTTTTAGAGAACTTAAGTGAGTTATAGGATGAAATAAACAGCAAAACTATACTAGTGGGAGACCTTAACCTCCTCCTCTCAGAACTAGATAATTCCAACCACAAAATAAACAAGAAAGAAGTTAAGGACGTGAATAAAATTTTAGAAAAGTTAGGTATAATAGACCTCTGGAGAAAATTGAATAGGAATAGAAAGGAATATACCTTTTTCAAAGTGGTACCTGGCACCTACACAAAAAAATTGACCATGTAGTAGGGCATAAATCCAATGCAGAAAGGCAGAAACATTAAATGCATCCTTTTCAGATCATGATGCAATAAAAATTACATGTAATAAAGGTCCATGGAAAGATAGACTTAATGTTAATTGAAAACTAAATAATCTAAGAATAAAGAATTAATTGGTCAAACAACTAATCATAAAAACAATCAATAACTTCATCCAAGAGAATAACAATGAGACAACATGCCAAAATTTATGAGATTCAGCCAAAGCAGTTCTTAGGGAAAATTTTATGTCTCTAAATGCTTATATATTTTTTCCTTTTCTTTTTTTTAATTAATAAATTTATTTTTAGTTTTCAACATTTACTTCCACAAGATTTTGAGTTCCAAATTTTCACCCCATCTCACCCCTCCCCCCATCCCAAGATGGCATGCATTCTGAATACCCCTTCCCCTAGTCTGCCTTCCCTTCTATTTCTCCCCCCACTTCTCTTATCCCCTTCCGCTTCTATTTTCCTGTAGGGCAGGATAGATTTCTGTACCCCATTTCCTGTATTTCTTATTTCCCAGTTGCATGTGAAAACATTTTTTTTTAAACAAGTGTTTTAAAAACTTTTGGTTCCAAATTTTCTCCCTTCCACCTTCCCCATCCATCCTCATTGAAAAGGCAAGCAACTCAATATAGACTATACATGTGCAGTTATGCAAAACACTTCCCTAGTAGACATGCTGTGAAAAACTAACTCTATTTCCCTTAATCCTATCCCACCCCTCAATTTGTTCTATTCTTTCTTTTGACCCTGTCCCTCCTCAGAAGTATTTGCTTCTGATTACCCTCTTTCCCAATCTGCCCTCCTCTCTATCATCCTGCTACTCTCTTGTCCCCTTCCCCCCTATTTTCCTGTAGGGTAAGACAGATTTCCATACCCAGTTGAGTGTGTATGTTATTCCCTCCTTAAGTCAAATCCTATGGGAATAAGATTCACTCATTCCCTCTCACCTTTTCCCATTTCCCCTCCACTGTAAGAGTCTTTTCTTTTCTGTTTTTTTTTGGGGAGGTAATTTACCCCATTCTACCTCTCCCTTTCTCCTTCTCCTAGTATAATCCTCTCTCATCCCTTAATTTTATTCTCCAAATATGACCCCTTCATCTTCAACTCACCCTGTGCCTTCTATCTACATATATATGTATATATATATATACATACATACATATAATTTTTTCTCTCCAACTACCCTAATACTGACAAAGGTCTCATGAGTTACAAATATCATCTTTCCATGCAGGAATTGAAACAGTTCAACCTTAATAAGTCTCTTATGATTTCTCTTTCCTGTTTACCTCTTCATGTTCCACTTGAGTCTTGTATTGGAAAGTCAAATTTTCTATTCAACTAAGGTCTTTTCATCAAGAATGCTTGAAAGTCTTCTATTTCACTGAATGACTATTTTTTCCCCTGAAGGATTATACTCAGTTTTGCTGGGTAGGTGATTCTTGGTTGTAATCCTATCTCCTTTGCCCTCCAGAATA